CCCGTGCGCCTCCCCTCTTTGGCGAGGGGTCGGCGGATTTGCGCCCAACGGGTCAAGATGGGCGCGTTGAAGCTGGTGAAGGCAGCAGCTCACTGTCAGTCTCCAACATGGTGCGATTTCAGTCACGAGATGCGCTGACTGAGCTTGAGAGAGCGGAGGACCACAAGCCAGATGTGCCGGAGGAGCGTGCACGGATCGAGCACGCAGGTGGATGGATACAGCCTGGATCAGTCTCCAGAGCCCGAGCCCGAGCTCGGAGCCTGCGATTCGAGCCAGAAAAGGCAAGGCAGGACCGCAGCAACCAGTCGGCCATCAGCCAACTTGCTGCAGTTTCTTGAGGTGAATGGAGACCTGAGCCTTTCCAGGGCAGGGTGCTTGCTTTGCAGACACATGTGTCACGCGCGTGCTGTAGAGTGTGGGGGGGGGGTTGGGGCTGGCCATTGCCGTTCTGTTGCCGGGCTGCGGAGGCCCTCGGGGACTTGGAGTACAAGCTCAACGACAATCTCCCCCCCGAGGGGCAGATAGCCAAGCCCCAAATCGAACCTTGCGCTGGAGAGAGAGCTAGAGAGAGCAGGTCAGCGCCGTGCCGGAGGTTTGCTCTGTCGCAAGGCTCCTTTTCAAAAAAACACGCCCAATCTCATTTTGACGCTCGTGTTGAATTTGGGCTCAGGAAAATTGGCTTGCAACTCAGCTGTTTTTTGCCTTTGGAGCTTGTCAGCGAAGGCAATGATCCCAACCCGACGCGTTTGGCAGCCATGATGGACCGAAGGATCGGGCTGGGCATACAAAGCGGAACAATCTGCGAGGCCAGAACCCCTTCTTCCAAAACTCCGCCAGTCTACGGCAACATAGGGCAACGACAGGCCTGGTTGGGGACTTCTTCAAGAAGGCCAGCAAGCACCTGAACGGCTAGCAAAGTAAAGCCTTGCGAACGACCTCGGCACGGTGGCGATCTTCATGGTAGGTCGTGCGCTGCTCTCTATCCTTCTTTCTGCCTGCTGTCCGTCGCTCTCCTTCTTCACTGGCATGCCACTGGTCAAAGCCTGCTGTTTGTCGCTCTCCTCCAGCCTGCTGCTGTCCGTCGCCCTGGTTTTCTTCACTGGGCCTGTCGCTCTCCTGCCTGCTGCTGTCCGTCGCTCTCGCGGTCTTCACTGGCATGCCACGGGTCAAAGCCTGCTGTTTGTCGCTCTCCTCCAGCTTGCTGCTGTCCGTCGCCCTCGCTTTCTTCACTGGGCCTGTCGCTCTCCTGCCTGCTGCTGTCCGTCGCTCTCGCGGTCTTCACTGGCATGTCACGGGTCAATGCCTGCTGCTGCCAGTCGCTCTCCTCCAGCCTGCTGCTGTCCGTCGCTCTCGCTTTCTTCACTGGCATGCCACGGTTCAAAGCCTGCTGCTGCCTGTCGCTCTCCTCCAGCCTGCTGCTGTCCGTCGCTTTCGCTTTCTTCACTGGCATGCCATGGGTCAAAGCCCACTGCTCTCCTTCGCTCTCCTTCTCGCAATGGGTTAAAGCCTTCTGCTCTCCTTCGCTCTCCTTCTTTGCTGGCACGCCATGGGTCAAAGCCTGCTGCTCTCCTTCGCTCTCCTTCTTTGCTGGCATGCCATGGGTCAAAGCCTGCTGCTCTCCTTCGCTCTCCTTCTCGCCATGGGTTAAAGCCTTCTGCTCTCCTTCGCTCTCCTTCTTTGCTGGCACGCCATGGGTCAAAGCCTACTGCTCTCCTTCGCTCTCCTTCGTCGCTGGCATGCCATGGGTCAAAGCCTACTCCTCTCCTTCGTCGCAGGCATTGCCATGGGTCAAAGCCTTCGCTCTCCTTCTTCACTGGCATGCCATGGGTCAAAGCCTTCTGCTCTCCTTCGCTCTCCTTCTTCACTGGCATGCCATGGGTCAAAGCCTACTGCTCTCCTTCGCTCTCCTTCTTCACTGGCATGCCATGGTCAAAGCTTACTGCTCTCCTTCGCTCTCCTTCTTTGCTGGCACGCCATTTGCTTCACTGGCATGCCATGGTCAAAGCCTACTGCTCTCCTTCGCTTTCCTTCTTTGCTGGCACGCCATGGGTTAACGCCTGCTGCTCTCCTTCGCTTTTCTTCTTCACTGGCATGCCATGGGTCAAAGCCTTCTGCTCTCTTTCACTCTCCTTCTCTGCTGGCACGCCATGGGTCAAAGCCTTCTGCTCTCCTTCGCTCTCCTTCTTTGCTGGCACGCCATGGGTGAAAGCCTGCTGCTCTCCTTCGCTCTCCTTCATTGCTGGCACGCCAGGAGTTCAAGCCTGCTGCTCTCCTTCGCGTTCCTTCTTCACTGGCATGCCATGGGTCAAAGCCTTCTGCTCTCCTTCGCTCTCCTTCTTCACTGGAATGCCATGGGTCAAAGCCTTCTGCTCTCCTTCGCTCTCCTTCTTTGCTGGCATGCCATGGTCAAAGCCTTCTGCTCTCCTTCGCTCTCCTTCTTTGCTGGCACGCCATGGGTTACTGCTCTCCTTCTGTCTCCTTCTTTGGCATGCCATGGGTCAAAGCCTACTGCTCTCCTGCGCTCTCTTTCTTTGACAGGAGTTAACGCCTGCTGCTCTCCTTCGCTCTCCTTCTTTGCTGGCATGCCATGGGTCAAAGCCTTCTGCTCTCCTGCGCTCTTCTTCTTTGCTGGCATGCCATGGGTCAAAGCCTTCTGCTCTCCTGCGCTCTCCTTCTTTGCTGGCACGCCAGGAGTTCAAGCCTGCTGCTCTCCTTCGCGTTCCTTCTTCACTGGCATGCCATGGGTCAAAGCCTTCTGCTCTCCTTCGCTCTCCTTTTTCACTGGCATGCCATGGGTCAAAGCCTTCTGCTCTCCTTCGCTCTCCTTCTTCACTGGCATGCCATGGGTCAAAGCCTTCTGCTCTCCTTCGCGCTCTTTCTTCACTGTCATGCCGTCAAAGCCTACTGCTCTCCTGCGCTCTCCTTCTTTGCTGGCACTCCAGGAGTTAAAGCCTGCTGCTCTCCTTCGCTCTCCTTCTTTACTGGCATGCCATGGGTCAAAGCCTGCTGCTCTCTCCTTCTTCACTTGCATGACTACTGTCCTTCGCAGCGAAGCCTGCTGCTTTCTTTTCTTGACCAGGTCCAAGTGTTGTGCCCTGCGTCTTGCTATTGGTCCGAGGCCACTGGCTTGCGCAGCTCCACCCACCCTCTGTCTCTGATGTGGGTCCGGGTTCACAGATAGGTTTCTGCCAGAAAATGTCATTTCACCGTCCATGCGGGTCTCCTTCTGCGAAGAAGGAGGGCGATGGAGAGAAGCAGGCTTTGGCCTACAGCATGCCAGTGAAGAAGGGAGAGCGAGGGACAGCAGGAGGTTTCTGCCCCGGACGAATGAAGAGGTTGGCACGGCGGCGAACATGCGCCTCTGGATAACCATTGGAACATGGATGCTGAGTAGCACTACTACATGTGGAGGATGTGGAATGGAGACGAAATGCGGCAGGTGTGCTGGGGAACCAGCAGCATTTTGTTGGGGCTGAGGCGACGGGGTGGGTGGGGAACTCAGGAGAAGCCACGTGCAGATCCCATGCTGAAGGGGAGGATCCCATCTCGGATGTGGAAGAAGCGTGAATGCATAGAAGTGTTCAAGTCCAGGACCCGACTCCGTGAGCTGGGCGATCAATGGTCAAGGATCCTTCCATAGCGGTTTGCGGCGTGGCGCGGGAATTCCGGCACTCGCAATACACTTTGGCTCAGGCAAAAGGGCTAGCTGCTGTTGCCCTTGGACTGTGTGACGCGTACATTTCTATTAGATTTGTCTTTAAGTTTTCGCCCCGCATTGTCCAATCTCCATGCAAAAGGAATGAGCTCCTGATTGGTTGTTGCAAAGTGCACAGGCATCCTCATGATGAGTTCCTGCTGCTGGCTTGCGACGGAGCGCTTTCCTCACTTCCCTTTCGTCGCCGTAGTCATTTGAGCGTTGTTTTCGTTTGTTCCCTGTTTCGTGTCTCCGTTTGCTGTGTGTTTCGGCTTCAGACTTTGCCTCGGCCCGAGGTTTGGGACGTCCTGAGCAGCCAGCAGGCTGTGGACTTCGTGCGTGCTCAGCTGGGCGATCGCAGTAGCTCCAGCCCTACAGTACGCAGTCCTGCCACAAGCGACGATTTGCTTGAGCAGTTAAGCAGATGCTTGCAAGTGCTTGCAAGTGCTTGCAAGTGCTTGCAAATGCTTGCAGGCTGGGCCACACGCTTGGCCAGCGGACAACTTCGCGGCTCTGAAATTTTGGGGCGATTGTGGCGGCCTCAGAGCTTGCAACCGTCACATAGGCTCGATCTCAGATCTAGGCTTGACCGCTGCTTGTCGCCCAACCTGGCGTCTACTGCTGGCCTCGGTGCCGTCGCTGCGACTGGCTCGGCCCAGCACGGCCCAGCACGGCCCAGCTCAGGTGGCGACAACATGACGGCGGCGAGCGCTTAGAACCGATGTCTTGCCATGCAATTCAAGCTTGTGAAGCATGGACATGGACATTGACCGTGTTGCTTCAGGTTCTGGTGCTGTTTCTTCCACAATGGGGAGGCTCTGCGGCTCACTTTGACATTGACGTTTTTGTACCATCTTGCAGCTTTCAGGCTGCGGCTACACTCCTCATTGGAATCCCTGACCGGCTTGAGCTTGCCTCGGGCTGAGCGGGTCCAGTGCATGCCAGGTGCGCGAACCCACACCAAGTACATCTCAGAGCACTCCGATTGCTCGAGGCGAATTAGCACAATTTAGCAAATGTACTGTGTATTACTAGGTACCAGTATATCCATTCTGCGTAAAGCGCGCTTCCAAAGCGTTGTGCACGGCAGAGAAATGCCAACCCGTTGCGACGCCGACAAGGCCTGCAAAAGGTTGCAAGTGGAGCAATGCAAGTCCTTCATTGCCAAGTGCCAAGTGGGCCAAGAGTGCCAAGCCAAAGGTTTCCAACTGAGCCGCAGCTGTTTGAGTTTGTGGGTGCCAACGATTCACGGAGGCGGGATGCTGTGTACACAGAGTTTCGGACGTTCTGACTTGTCAGGAAATGGATGCGCTGCCGGAGGGATGGAGTGCTTACCAGGACGATCAAGGTTCTGCCTCCATTTCAGGTCTCAAGGCAGCCGGGCGTTCTCTGAGGTCGCACCTATTACGCCAATCCCTCGCGATGGCCTCAGTGAAATTCACATCATTTGACTTCAAGGAATCTTCCTGTTCGTTGCATTCCGTCCATGTGAATTTAATTCTGAGGACCGGTGAGACCAGTTGGGACCCTCCTGCCCCCGTTGCGCCCGCGCTCCCAGACGGCTGGACGGCCCACCAGGCAAGCACGAGTCGCACAGGTTGCGCAGATGGAGGGTCCTTTAGATGTTACATAATATAACCCATGTCCTATGTTGCATGCACTGAGTTGCATTGCTGCAAGCGTTGCCCTTCAAATATCTTCAAATGGACCCTTCCAGATGCCGCATTGCATCACATGTCACATGCAGGACCCTTCCACCGGGAAGACCTTCTATGCCAATTGCACCACCGGCGAGTCAAGCACTAGCCTCACGCGTGCAAGTCTGTACATCCGTGCGCTCCATCCAAAGTTCTTCCAACAATAAAATCGCAATAGAACTTGTTGAAATGCCGTTGAACATATTGAAATCGATGGAATCGAGTCTAAGGCTGGGAGCCGCCGACAGCACCAGCTGCGCCGGCTGCCCCCGCGCCGGAGAAGCCTGGCCGCTGGTCCGTGGACTTCACGCCAAGACCCTACGGAGCTTCAATTTGAGTTCGAAGTGTTCGAAGTTTTCGAAGTTCGCTTGTGAAAATCAATTTGTATTCATTTGTGCTTAAGTTGGGCGTGGGTTCGGTGCCGACAGGTATACTATCGGGCCAGAAGGCTCGGAGCACATATTCTCGGGCAAGGTCCAACTGCTCGACAAATCCGTGCTACTTGGCACATTTTGGCACTTGTCCGGCGAGACCAGAATTCCGAATTCCGGGATCAATCGCTCAAGTACCCTGAGGCATAGCTCCGTAAGTTTAGTGGTGGACAGCCTGAACTCGGGTGCTTTGGCAGCGTCCCCAGATATTGATTGACTGCCGCCATTGGACCGCAGACTCAGGCGGTGCCTGAAGGCTACTGCGTGGTGTATTCAAACTCCAAGAAAAGCTGGCGGCCCAATGTGTCCGAGTATTACACTTGATGCACCTGATGCCCTCGCCCTCAGACTACTTTTTGCTGTGGCGAGAAGAGAAGGAGACGGAAGTCTTTGCCTTGCCGTGCTCCTAGTATCCCATGAGGCACTCGAATCCGTAACGGTGTGACTCACTTCAAGAGTATAGCGCAACGGGATCGAATGAGTCGAGATGTTTCTCAGGCTGGGCCTCGGCGGCTCTGACCAGCTTCCAGCTCAGCCAGTCGCCATGGGTCGGTCGGTCACCTGTGCACGGATCATTTGCCATAGACGCCACGTTCAGGTGGTCCACGTCACAGGTTCTGCGGCTGGACCCAGCTTGGACAGAGGTCTGTGCTTGAGCCACGTAACGGTATAGGTGCTTGCAATTTACTAAGCACGGAGTCTTGGCGTGAGCGAGTGAAGCGTGTCTCACTTTCTCCTACCATGTGCGCCCTGGCAGGATGTGTTTGCTGGGCGCTGTGACGTGGTTGACAAGGTGCCGTCAAGGGCCGCAAATCGAAGTCCCGGAGCTCGAGCTGAGGTGCGCTATGACTCGGTCACAGCTGCGGTGGAGGCGATCGATGCCTGCGGTTCTTGGTGTTGATGTTAAATGTGGGGATGCCAGGCCTTGAATGCCGGCATCGTCTATGAAGGACAGAGAGGCTTTTGCGCAGTTTGGTCTGTCAGGAGCTCAGAGCGACAGACTGAGACTGGGACATCAAAAGACGGCCTGAAACGTCACAGGCCTCCCAACACTGCTTCCACTTGGTGTGGCGGCAGGCCGGCTTCTTCGATACGCCACATCGGTACGCATGCCGCATGCCACGCAAATCCGAAAAAGAAAAGCACCACGGGCAATTCTACCGCGTGCCTTGTGAGCTCGAGGACAAGGAGCAGGAGGCCTACGTAGCCTTGGGCCTCGCATGAGCACTTTTTGCAGCTCTCACCGGCACCCTGCAGAGCAGGGCGTTCCTGGGATGTTCGACCGTTCGTGTCTCATGTCTTCACCGTGTATCATGGAATCCGAAGCTGATTGAATGAACTATGGACTTGCTGGTGCTAGCTGCCTGTGGTGTCACTTTACCGAACTGCGGGGACCTCAAGAGAGAAGGCAAGAAGCAGAGAAGTTCAGAAGTCGTTGCGGTTTCAAACATCACCGAACTGGCCAGTCTGAAGCGCGTCGCGCGCGATCTGGCTCAAGGGTCGAAACGGAGAGAAAAAGGCCACTGAAACTGGATGGCTTGCAAACATTTCAGCACGGGAACTGGGAGTGAGAGATAGACGCCATCAGATAAAGCAGGCTGGAGGAGATGCAGAAAAACAAAGCAGACGTGAAAAGGCATTAAGAAAGGACAAGCTGAGACGAGGCGAATTCGACTTGCACAATGGCACTGGAGTTGCCTCCGTGGCTTGAAGCCCGAGCGATACGCTACGCAGGCAACATGTTTCTTTTGGGAACCCGGCAAATCTTTCAATTGGCTTGAGAGTTTCTTGAGTTGTCTGTTACTTGAGAGGGTGAGATTCACGTGAGGCCGTGGTGTTTTTGCGGTCTGTGCCCGAGTTGGCCTCTTCATGGGCAGGTTGGCTCGTTAGGATCAGAGACGCTCAGACTGAAGGTGCGGCAATTGCCTCGCGGAGGTTTGGTCCTCTCGGCAAAGCCTATTATGCGCACCATCTCTCGCGATGCCAAGCCCTTCAGATGCTGTTTTTGTTTCAGCCACTCGGTTGCGCTCGGCTGAAGCTCTGTGAAGCTTTGAGCTTTCGCGTTAGGCAGGAGCGAGTTGGCTCTGTCAGAGGCTCGCTGGCCCGGAAGTTCGCACGCTTTCAATTCTCGGAGCATCTCGGGGCTGTGCTTCTGTTCGCAGGTTTGCCGGTGCCGTTCGGCCTGGTGTTCTCCCACTTGCAGGCACCTGGATGAGGCGTGCGTTCTGCCATGCGCATGTTTCTTGTTTAGGCGTTCTGTATGCGACGGTTTTGTTTGTCGATGTCACAGCCAATTCACAACCCCTAAGCCCCCAATGGCGTGGGAATGCGCCCGCCAGGTGCATACATGCATGTTACATGCATGTTACATGCATGTTACATGCAGGTTAGGCAGGTGTTTGAGGCAGAGGATTGCATGACCGATTCGCCCTTCGAGCGTCTTGAAGGGCGCTTGCGCCACGGCCATTGAGAGTTACTAAGGGATTCATAATGATTCATATTTTCCGGTTCTTGTTCTGGGCGCCTTTGCGCTTGGGTCTCTCTCAGAGTATGTCTGAATGTCTGAATGTCTTGGAGTCTTAAATGCCGGGAGGCACATGCTGCCGAGTGCGTTTTGCTGGCGCAGCTTGCCTCGGCATCAGCGAAGGCACGGCCTTGGCCGAATTCGGAGATGGAGCGGAACTTCAATTCGAATTCCCGAGAGTTCGGAGTTCGGAGTGTGGATGTCGGATCGAGGTGCCGTCAGAAGTCTGGGAAAATGCTGCACTGCTGGCCTCGCTGCGTGCAAGTCTGTGGGCAGACCCGAGCCGCCACCTCAAAAGCCAACGTGGCGACGTGCGCGAAGTGCGAAGTGCGCGAAGGCCGCGAGGCAGAGCTGGAGGAATTGATGCAGGAGCCCCCATCCAGAGCCGGCGCCGGGCACTCGGGCGCTCGGGCGCTTAGGCGCTTGCACGGGTCGGGCGAACTGATACTTCTAGCCAGAGCAAGCTGCCGCAAAGAGTCATAGAGTTAAAGAATGAAAGGGTAATATTTTTGGAGATGAAGTTCCCCTTTGCATCGCTCTTTCCTTTAGTTTGTCCATCTCATTGTGTTCTCCCGATTCCTTGCTCTGATTGTGTGCTCAAATTATTTTCAGATTTGGTTTCCTCTGTTCTTTGGGAACTCGGGATTTCTACCCGTTAGTTTCTCTTCGCTTGGGTGTCCAGGTTTGGTTATTTTTGTCTTCGAAAGTGTGGGTTTCCCCGGGGGGGCGGGGGGCGTGGGGGCCGTCGGAGCCTGCAGGTCACCCGAAACCTCCCCTAAACCCAGCCCCAAACCTAAGCCCACCATCATCCCATCCTCCGGAAGCGATCTCAAGCAAGGCCAAACCATTCCCTAAGACACTGCGCACTGATGCAGCGAGGCCACTGCGGAGTCTAGTGAAAGCTCAAGCTTGCCTTGTGTTTGTATAGAGGTTTGCGCCGCGCAAATCTCAAGCCTGCAGGGACACACACGGGACAAGGTCGACGGCGCAACCCACAAGCATTTCTCGTTGGTTTTCGCAGTTGGGGCCGCGCCGAAGTGAGAGTTAGAGACTGAGAGACTCGTTCAGTATGAATTTCACGCGAGTCCGGGGCAGGTCTTCACACGAGCAATCTCTCTTTGATATCGACATCATATCTTTCTATTCTATCTCTCTGTGACATGCCTCTCTCATCTGGGACGTGTCTGTGTTCAATCTCGGTGGCCCTTCGCAAAACGCCTTCCACCTTTTCGCCATTCTCCTTCGGGTTTCTCCGTTGCATCGCCTTTTCCCTGTTCCATCTAACCCATCTCTAGTTTTGTCATTCCATTTTTCTTTGATTTTGTCACTCCATTCTTGTTGGTCTCATTTTGTACATCTTCGGGTTTTCTTGGAACTCGGATGACGGAAAGCGCTTCTTGAAGCGCTGGGAGTTAGTGTACGAAGTTGTGGGGGGGGGGGGGTGGGGTGGGGGAAAAAATAGTAAAAGGGGATTTGAAGGAACTGAAAATCCTTTTACTATTTTTTCTATCAACCAATGAAAAACACATTGAAAAACCAAGTATCAAATAATAGATAAGGTTAATAAATCACAACCTTATTCATTCTAAGTAATTCCTAGAAAAGATACACACCTTATCCATTATTTTTTCACTACTTAACCTATTTCATTTTACTATTTGTTTATCCTTATTCATTTTATATTTTAAGTCTTTTTCCAATTCTCAGAAACTCCAGTTGTTCTTCATTGTTTCTTTTTACCTTATTCATTGTTCACGAATTTTTCACTCAGACTTAAAAATATGACTAAAACACATTTCACCTAATAGCTCCACAAAACCAAACAGTCAAAGCACACAAGAAAACTAAGAAAATATAATAATTCAATCTTTACAAACGATAAGTATAATATAATTATACCATATAATATTTTACATGTTATAATTATATTTCAATTAAGAATTAATGATTTAAGATAACAGTCAGGCAATATGTCTTCAAATATGTAATCTACATATTTATCAATATCATTAATGTCTATATATTTGATATTGTCTTTTCCTATTATCGAATAAATATATTCCCAAAAGAATAAATACAGCAATAGACATACTTTATATTTAGTGTTGTAGTAATACCATACATGATATTTAGTTATTCTAAATTCATTCAAGACCTTGTTTATTTTATCTTTGCTTAATAAATGCCAATCAATCTCTTCAAACAAATCACGAAATTCTTTAGCAAATGATTTATATGGTTTAATGCTTAGTTCTCCTCCAAACCTTTTAATCAAATCTTTATTATTAAAAAACTCATCAATTTCTTTTTCAAATGACTCTCTATCAATTTTATGACAAAAATATACAGGAAATCGTTTTTGATATTTCATAAAGAATTTCAATTTTAATTGAAACTTTGTATATCCCTTATCCTTATATTCTTCAACAAACAACTTTTCAAGGTCTCTTGTTATACAGCATTGATTACAATATACATCATATTCACTTATTTTATTACACAGATTAGCAGGTAATAAGTTATACAATGTAAAATTAATATCATTCTTTTTATTATTACAACATTCACACTTACTATAATTAAACAGTGTCATTTTTCCTCTTAATATATTAAGTCAATATTTCTTTAAGTCGTTTTCAAAGAATTTATTTTATAATGGCCGTAAGCAAGTGAGTTTACACTATCTATCCAATATTTTTTGTTTTCATAACTACTAAGAGCAATTTTTTTAGTTGTTATACTAAAAATTCTGTGGTTTTTACTTCTAATACTATTAAATGACTTATGTATAACCTCATTAGTTTTTAAAACCGTCTCAAACTCTTCATATTTCATTTGACGTCTTACTGTGCCTTTTGCTATGCCCTTACATTTCTTATATTTTTTATCATCACCATAAACTGAGTAAGCATAGCATTTAGGACGAAGAGCTATAAACCCTGTTATTATTTTACTTTTTAATTCATCCTTAAATTTCCCTAATACTTTCTTGTTATTATCATAATAACATTTATGTTCCTTAGGATAATCTGAAAAATCTAATTCTTTTTTAATTGTATTCAGGTCTTCATAAATGTCATTGGTTTTAGTATGAAATACAAAACTATCAGTATCAGTATATACCATTTTAATATTATCTCCATATTTAGGCTTCATAACGTCATAATAAAATTTATACATGTGTTGCTTACTCAAATCTAAAATACTCATCCCAATAAATATAGGTTTGTCTAGTTTCAACTTTGTTTTTTGCTTTTCAACTCCAACCAAATTTTCATTAATGATATGACTATGTTTGAAGTTAGGATTACTTACACACTTCATATATCTAGTTTCATCACTCACAACTTCAAAGTCTAAATGTTTTCGCTTATCCTCCATTGTTTTTCCAAATATGGCATTGTTCATCAATTTGTAAACATCTTTCTCAAAATCATTTCTAGCATTCTTCCTCTTCTCAGTGTTAAACTCAATGTAAGGTTTTAAAACTTCTTTTTGTTCAAATTTAATTGCTCTATGAATTTTCTTAAGTTTTAACCCTTGCTTCAAATAAAATTGTAAGGTTCTTATATGGATTACATATTTTTCTTTATCATTTAAATTCAATACTAATTTATTTGTTTTCTCATCCGTAGGTTTTTTATGATTTAAAAATTCATAAATTTCAATTTGTTTATCTGACAGCATGTTGGCTTTAACATTCATAACCTCAGGTGCCATTGGATAGTCATTGTGTAAATCGTGTAATTCTTTAGGATATTCTAAATCCACTTCTAGAATATATCCAATATTATTATTTTTGTAATTAATAATGTCTTCTTCTTTTAATGTATCATCCCATTTTAGATTTTTATATGGCAGTTTTTGTATCATGCTTAACCCATACAAATTATTAGCATCAAAATAGTTAATATAACTACTTTCTTTATTTTTATCATATTCTTCTCCCATGTATTTATTATTTGCTTCAACTTTTTTAGTAGAAACCATACACATCCCTCCTCTAAGTCCCGCTTCTATCATTTCATACATTTCTTGGTCATATATTAAATCAATCTCTACACCAGTCATTTTAAGCATAGCATCAAAAGCAAAGTTAGGCAATGTATAATAATAAGCAGGGTCCAATCCATAATATTTCATACATACATCTCTAAAATTTTCGAAAATGTCAGTCAATAATAATACATCAGTTTTCAAATATAAATCATGGTATTCACCCATATTCTTAATGTCGAAATGCTTCCATATAATTTTTGCCCTTTCATAGTCGTTAACACTTATACCTTCTTCACTCAACTGACTATAAAAATCATCCTTACTCGGTAATTGCTCATCATCAAATTTATCAAATGAATTCATGTAGTCATAAGGATAAACGCCTTTATCAGTTAATAAATCTAGACATTTCTCACTCTTAATCACATCATTTTTACTACTGAACCTAAAATTATCTTTCCAGTTTTCACGCAATAACCATTTACTTTTATCTTCTTCATCTGTATTATCATACTTACTCATTGAAACTAACTTATCTAATGAAGCAGTTAAAAACCCAAAAGTGTCTTTAACACTCAAACTTTCAAAACTGATATTAATAAATTTTTCACTGTTCTGAGCGATGACACCTATTTTATTGTTGTTACTTAATTTATCCGCATTTTGAATAATTAAATGACCGTCATAATTTTTCATGTTATGAAAGAATACTGGAATTTTAAAATATCTATTACAAAAATTAAGATTGCAAACATTATGAGCACAACCTCTATACTTACCTGTAAAATGACAATGGTCTCTAACTTTTCTATATTTCTCTGCTTCCTTGGCATTCTTATAGTTCATTCTAAACTTATCCCCACAAATAAAGCAGTTTTTAGCATTTTTAAAATCTTCTTTGTCTTCATCAGTCATGTCTATTTTTTCGTTTTCTCCCATCTTCTCCTTTACTTCTGCCCTAATCTCATTAAGTTTTTGACAAAACACATCAACAGCATCTTTACCACGATACATAAATTCATAATTTGTATTATCAACAGCATTAACCATATTAAGCATAAAACCACATGGTTTATGCTCTTGATAAGAAAAAGTGTTTTTATCTTCATCTTCATCAGGTTTTTTCAGTTCCTCTGTCAAACATTCAAAATCAGCATATACAACAAAAGGACATCTTAACTTTTTGAAGTGATGCTTAAAACTAACTTTCTCATAAGGCTTAGGCATTACTATTTGTTGACCATCAACTTCCATGCATCCACTATCATAATGTTTATTTAATAATTCTTCATTTCTAAATCCATGATTACAATATTTACAAAAATAGGACTTACCATTATGATTACTTTTTTGATTATTAATAAGTCTGCTCAAACTTTTTATATACACAT